TTAATAATGCTTATTAGACTATATTAAAAACTAGAACCAGACTGTGATAATGCATTTCTTTATTACGTATTTAAGCCAAATAACTAATTTCCCCCAGGGGAGGGGAGAGATATGTTGAATTCGTTTCATTTGGTGAACTCACTTATTAATCTGTTTCCTCAGCGTTATTTAGTTTCATACTCCATAATTTGGTTTTCATGTAACAAAAATATCACAGTTCGGTGTTCCTTTTAACTCTACTGTGATTGTTTTGTACAGATCGATTACATTTGCAGTTTATTAGAGATCATTATTAATAACGTTAACCTCTCAATTGTTTCATAACTACTTTGTGCTGACAAACTTTCGCTCTCAACCGTTTCCCTGAGGTCTGAGGATTTAAAAGGATCAAGTTTTAAATAGCAACGTTACAGCAAAAAAAAAAAAAACAGGGGTGGATGGGAGACCCACACCGCCTGTGTTCTTTCGTGTTAATTTTATATGTTTGCATTTAAGTGCCGCCTCATTTCCTTCAAGGAAGGACCTAAGAGCGGCAGGCAAGGACCCTGGGAGTGACTAATGAGCTGGGACCGGGTACCAGGGCACCTTTAAGGACTGGAGACTGGGTGTTAGCTCGGCCTCCTTCCCGGCCCACCTCTGAACCCTGATTGACAGGGCGCCGGGCGAGGAGGAGCCCAAGGAGGCCCAGGAGGAGGCGCCGGCAGGAAGGCAGGGGAGGAGGGGCCGTCTTCCCACCGATGACCAATCATAGAAAGGGGCGTGGCCCGCATGCTCTCGGAAGACCAATCATAGAGGGGGGCGTGGCAACGGACCCCTCCCTCCTCTCCCCCATCTTCTCCTCCTCCCTCTCCTCCCTCTCCTCCTCCCTCTCCTCCTCCTCCTCCTCCTCCTCGCAGGCTGTGGTTTTTCTGTGTGTGTTTCTGGAGTCCTGAGCCTGAGCTAAACAAAAGCAGGAGGCTGGCGGGGCTGCTGGAGTTTGCAGAGCCGGAGGAGGAGCGAGCCCGTGCTCTGCCTGCGCCGCTGCCGGGGGATCGGCTCTGGCAACAGCCCACCCCCTTTGAGATCACTCCGGCCCGGAGTGGGGGTGGGGGGCGGCGGG